AAAAAAGAAGAAAACGGCGATACTGAGCTGGTCCGATTTGAACTCTGTATATCATTCGCACTTTGTCTAATATCTCTTGAGCATCCGCATCCCTGATAGCATCTCCCATTGTTGATTACATAAGCCAAGTTTTTGGAATCTGTCTCAAAAATTAATTTCTCTCTGTCTTCTTTCTTCGGAAAAAGTTTTAAGCACCACACCAAACTATTCGAAAAGGCCTCTAGCTCTCCTACATTGGTTTTGCCCGATGTGTTTTTCCAAACTTGTTTACGAAGCACCTCCCCGAGGTGGTTTCTGATTACGCACCACCGCCCTCACCTGTAAGAATTGCTTTTTTTACGATGCGGCCCTGACTTGTAGAATTTGATTTATCCTTAATCTCCACAAACTTAGCTGAATAATCCATCGATATTTTGAGTTTTCCCATCGGTGGGGCTTCCCATTTGAGACCCAATAACAAGAATAAAAATTTAAAAAATTTAATTTCAATTTTTATTCAAAATAAAAATGAATAAACAAATCAAAACATGAGCTGATGAAATGCGGTGGGGATGAATACATAAAAAGAGAACCTTGGGGGCAGGCTCGGAAGGGTGGATCGGAGGGTTGCCGGAGGAGATCGGAGCTTCGGGGGAGATCTTGGCGGAGTAATGACGGATGTAGGGAGACGAGATTCCAAACATTCTCCGAATAGCTAACATTGTCATCGGGATGGACTGAACGCCGATTGAGGCAGAGTTGTCGCGAGAAGAGAGGAGGGTTTTAGGGGTTTCGGGTTTTTATGTTTTGGGACTATGCATTTTTTTAATAGACTATCCCATATCATTTAATAGACTATCCCACTGGTATAATTTTACTATGGATCTCGTTAATCGACTATGGGCCGAAGAATCATCAAAACCCTAGATTTGAGAAGTGACGGCGGCGGAGTGGTGTTTTAAAATTAATAGACTATCTCATATCTTTTAATAGACTATCCCATGTATCTAATTCGACTATGGGTTTAGTTAATTGACTATTGGAAAAATAATAATATATATGGAAACTGAATTAAAAAAGACTACGAACTATATTTTAATGTACTACCCAGCACACTTAAATCGGCTGTTATAAACAAATAAACCAACTATCGATCGGGATAAAAAACATGAACTCGACCACAGCGGACAATTATTCCGATTATTGCATAAACCAACTACGAAGCTCATATAAAACAACTCTGGTCCGATCTGCGTGAACCATCCTCTTCTAACTCTGTCAATCCTCTTCCAAACAAACATCATCCGCCAAAAATAACGATGTATATATGACGACGTAATTTTGTTAAAAAACGTTCTACTTAATAGAATCAAGTATGAACACAACTCTTAAAAATGTCTAACCACCGTACACGACAATCCTGTACATACAGCGAAAATAAAAGCCAAAAAAGACGCATTCATACCCGCTTGACGGTGAAGAAATCTTCAAAGGCGATTAAAACGATGGAACGCTGGATAAATCTTCAAAAAAAAATTCTACACGATTTGATAGACACGATTTGATAGAACGGCCAATGATCTCACGTAAATTTATTCCGTGATTTTAGAATCACGTATCAGCAAATCTCATATCGTAGTTAAGGAAATAAATGCCGTTCAAAAATAAAACAGGGGTATTAAAGGAAAATTATATAATATATTTTGGCAAGTTAGCAAAATTGAGTCTATCTCAAAAAAGAGAAAAAAAAATTGGATCTACCTCAATAGAAAATATGAACAAGGGTTATCCCTAATAAACCCAATCGAAAAATCCCAAAACAAGCTCCTAATCTTTCGGTACCCTCCCACCGTTTGTTAACAAACACTTAATTACCAACTTTTTTTAAACTCCTTTTCGAATTAATGCGAAATTATTCTATATTTTTTTTTTCTTTAATTATTATTTTTAATTTTTTAATTATTTTTTTTTTGGGGAAAACAAGTGAAATTAGATTTTGTAGAACCCAGTTTCAGTAATGATTTCTTCTTACTTCGTCTACATCAATCAAAACGGCAGCTTGTGATTCGTATATATCTATACATATATATTTATAGAGAGAGAGAGATACAGATATATAGGGTATTGATTCATATAATTTGGTTTTAATATTATTCTGAATAAATGTCTGAATTGGTGGCTCGGACTGGCCGGCATCAGCAGCGTTACGAGGGTGGCTACCGCCTCATTGCTGGGTACCTTTCATCTATTTCTCTTTCTCTCTCTCTATATATATGTATGTATTTTTGTATGTACGTGCATGCTTATTTATCAATTGGGGTTTTTTGTTTGTTTGTTTGCATGAGGGATTCCTTTGTCCGCGTTTTAATTGGGGTTAATGTGTAGATGTTGGAGTTGGGTTTGTGATGTGCTTCTCGATTCTTTTACCGGTTGGATGAAAATCAAATTGGATTTCAATTTATTATGCTGATGATTTTTTTGGGGGGTTCTGTTTATTGGATTTCCTGGGTAGTTGTGGCTACTAGGTTTTGGCGAAATTGGAGAAATTGAGTTTATTTTTTGATGAATGTTGGGTGAAATTTATTTTTTACGAGTTTGTCGATGTGGCAGGTTTGTTTTTATTGGCAATGATGTAAACGAAAATGACGTAAAATCCGAACCGGAGATGATATTGTGTTTGTAGCTTAATTACTGATTTTCGTTAGATGGTATACTTGACAGTAAAAACTGTACACATCAATTGAATCTTCATTGTACCTGCAGTACATTTTCGGTTTTTGCAATTAGGGTTCTTTCTGAAACATAAATAAGACAGAGCAGGAAAAATCTCCAAAGTTTCGTTTTACCTGCAATATATAATCTGTTGGCACGGTTAGTTGTTTTTGTGTAGCTCAGAATTTTTTAAGGTGAAAGATACTTTCTGGCTGATCTTTTTTTTCCAGTGAACGTATAAAGAAAAAGAATGGGATGCATTGAGTTGTAAGCACAACGAGCAGTTAGAAAAAGGAAATTAGGAAATCATAAATTGTCTCTGCATATGTGTCTGTCCTAAACTATTACCAGGCATGTAGTTCATAATTAGACGAGAAGGCGGATGATTACGAGTTTTTTCTATAATTTCTTCTGTGCTAAGAAGTTAATTAGGATAAACACGCATCATATTCTGTTCTGACCTGTGGAGTCAACTGCCAGGTGTATTCCCTTCAAATATAGGAATGTAACGGAAAATGGTGATGACACATCTGAAAAGATGGTTGAAGTGCTAATGATCAACTCTACCGGTGGGCCTGGTCTTCTATTTCCGAAGGTGAGAATTCTGGATTTATGTGTCCATAAATAATTGTTGCAGATTGCGTAAATCGTTTTCCAGTTCATTTTTCTCCTTGTGTGGGTTACACTGTGTTGGATTCTTGATGATAAGATTGTATCGGGAACATTTGTTAGCATTCAACGGGACCTCAAATTTTGCTTTAAATTAGAAGGATGTTGTATTTTACTTTTAGGAATTGTGAGTTGTAATCTTATGGCAAATGATTCATTCCAATAGCCTTATGTTCTGAATTTTCCGTTTGGCTGTCTCCAAAAGATAGGTGCTGAAAGATTCTTTTATTTATTTATTTTTTGCTTCATGGTTGACTTTTTACTTCGCAGTCTTCTTTGTTTTCTTGGGGTACGGTGAAATAACTGTCACTCAACTACTCAACTAGACTGGATTAATATGTAAAATGTTAACTTCCTTCTTGCTAATTCTAATTGGGTTTCGATAGCATTTAAGATTAAGGTTCTGGGATTAATACTTGACACGGGGTTTTCTTGAGATACGGTTGTTTGACTTCTTTCAGTAGTAGCTAGCATTGAGTGTCTTCTGTGTGTAAGATCATAGAGTTAAACATGAATTTTGATAGCTGTTTCGGTCTTTGATCAGTTCACCGTAGATGTTGCAAATTTCGTTTCAATGTCACCGTCTTTATTATGATTTTGTCAATACTATCACATATTTTCCACTTCCATTTATCTCGCTCTAGGAGCAAAATCTAAAAAAATAAGAATCCGTGACTTTTGATTTATTCGTCTCTGTACTTAGAGACGTGGTGCACACAAAAGTTTGGGAATAATTTATGTACTTAATTGGATATATTTATCGATTTCAGATTTTCGAGTTATTTCTGGAAGAGATATGTAAGATATATGAATGGGTATATAGATATTCTTCTGATTGGCACTGAAGCTACTGAATACTGTTGAATGATGCCAATTTAGTATCCATTAAATGATGTAATATGTATATGAGATGAATTTACGATACAGCTAATACATCGATGGACTGGGAAAACAAACTTGATCCGGCTATCCAGTTATATTTCTTTTCTTATATTTTACCACATTGACGTATTCTTGTTTTATGCCATGTTGAAGTTCGGTCTTTCAACATTATTTAAGGAAAAACTGGAAGTACATGTAAGTTGTCCTAGTGTCCTAAACAGAAGATTAAGTAGATGAATTCCTAACGAATCTTAGGTTGTATGCATCCAATTCAACCTGCCTATGACGTAAATAGATTAACTTATTTTACCAAAGATTAATACATAATAGTAATTATGTTTAAGATAAAAAAAAATCCCGTTTTTTTTTTTTTGGTTTTCGATAGGGTGGGTGGGAGAATGATGAAACAGCTGAGGAGGCAGCGGTAAGGGAAGCCATGGAAGAGGCTGGAGTACGAGGCGATTTAGTGGTAAATTTTATATCCATCCTTTTTTTTTTCTTTTTTTTTTTTAATTCTTGGTTATATATTTTATGCTTCGATTTCATAAACCGTTCACCTCTTTTATTTTTTTCCCAGCATTTCCTTGGAAATTATTCATTCAAGAGCAAAACCCTACAGGATGAATATAGTCCAGAGGGTTTATGTAGAGCTGCTATGTATGCTTTGAATGTGGAGGAGGAGTTGGAGTGTTGGCCGGAGAAAAGCCACCGTCAAAGAAGTTGGCTTACAATTCCAGAAGCAATTGAATGCTGCAGACATGCTTGGATGAGAGAAGCTCTCGATCAAGGTTTCTCTAAATGGTATGCCGATGGTATGAACCGTACTTTGCCGAGACAAGGTTCTCCCGACTCATCTTCCGATCCGCAATGAGATATATTCATATATTTTATATATATATATTTTCGTAAAAGAATTCTCTAGTTATGATACCGTCCGAAGCTGAGTTTGTACGTACATACGTACATTCTTTGTTTTGGCTCTTTAAATTTCGTTTGGAGATTAGGGATTGGGAGTAAGATGCAAATACTTTTTCGTTGGTTTTTTTTTTAGGTGTTTTAAAATGTTCTGATGATCGATGACGTTTTTTTCTTTTTAATATTTTTTTTGGGGGGGCTCTTTCGAGTTTTAATGGAAAGAGGAACTATTGCATTGAATTCTCTTGTCATTCTTGATCATCTCTTCTTAAGTGTGTATGAGATGAAGTTTATCATTGGTATCGATAATTTTCTTTTTCTTTTATTCTAACTTGTGACTTATGAAAAAAATGTTCTTCTGTCCCTAGACGATTTTGGGCCTTCAAGTTGAATTTATGGGCCCTTTATGAGCTGAATTAAGGCCCGTAATATGAAATCATGGCCCAATTTGAGTTGAATTTAAGCCTTCAGTTTGAAGTTATGGGCCCACAAGAATTAAATTTGGGCCTGTAATTTGAAGTTATGGGCCCATAAGAGCTGAATTTCGTTTTAATTAATTCATGTTTCGTTTAGTTGTCGAGATAAAATTATGCAATTAATCTTAATTAATCTTTTAATTAATTCAGAATTAATTAATTTAATTCTTGTGACTAATGAAAATACAATAAATCACTATTTGAGGAAAATTCTAACTCCTGACTTATGAAAAAGATGTGGAAATTAATTCCCACCACCAATTTTTTTTTAATATTATATAAATAATTAGAAAATGGATATGGTTTTAATTTCCAGATTTGCATTACTCAGATAATGACTTCATATATATCTAAACCTTTCAATTTTAGTAAAAAAATTGGTCTATGAAATGCTACATCTGCTGTATTTCATCAGATGATTTTAAACCGTAGATCTATATAAATAATTATCCACTAAACAAATATACACCGATACACAAGGGTATTTGTGTAATTATGTGTAGATTAAAGATCCAACATTAAAATTATACTGCAATTTTTTCCCCAAAGGCTCACTAAAATTTGTAACTATTAACAAACAAGCAAAACAAAAAAAACCTCAATAAAAAATAAAAATAAAAATCAACAAACATAATATACATATACATACCAAAGCATATATATATCAAAATAATATTATTACATATGTAACAAAGGTTTTGAGAACATGAATCAAGAAGGTTTGAACCCATTAATCCATGAAAAATATGTATCATCTGTGGATAAAAAAAAGACATCATTGTATAACCCGATAATCGACGGGTCGGACTCGGATCCATATTTGTGCACCGCATCAGTATTAGCAGGGTGCCCTAGTATATAATTTTCCGACGTCGTCGTCGTCATCGTCACTTCATCATCATCTACCGCAACATGAATATCGTTCTCATCAGCCACTTTCACGGCGTCGTCCGCCGCCTCTCCTCCTCCTCCGCCATCATCCGCCGGAAAACTGTTTGGCTCCGGCGGCGGCGTATCGGCGGCGTATTGGCCGGTGAGTTGTTGCACGAGGGCCCTGAATTGAGAAGCGCTGGTTTTGAACTTGATAGGGTTCGTTATGTAGACAATCTTGAGTGGCGGCGGCTGTCTTTTCTTCTTCTTCTTCTTCTTTGTGTGTTTGGTTGCGCTTGTCGGATTCAGGGACGCCATTTTTTCCATGTTCAAAGCTCAAAATGTAAGAGAGAGGAGAGTGGGGAAGAATAAACAAGTGGGATTTTTTTGTATCTTTTGATTTAAAGGAGAGATCTATCTGTTTGTTATAAATGCATGCATTTGCTTGATGCCAACGCGCCTGCATTTGTGTGTAGATAGATGAGAGGTGCTCTAAGTATATACCTTTTTTTTTTTTTTTTTAATTATTAAAATTATCAATACCATTCACAATTTAAATATATATATATATATATATATATATATTTTATTTATAGATAAGTCGGTCTTATCGTTCTCTGCAAATGAATTATTTTAACATATATACTCCTCTCTACGATTTACGAAATTTATGAAATAATTTTCTTGTATTGAAGTGCTACGGAGATAAGTTAATTGGATCTGAATTAATTTGAATCTTGTTTATAATATTTAAAATTTAAATATTTTATCCAATAAATGAACACAAATCGGACTGGATATATAACACTTTCTTCCAAATGGATACTCGGTGCAAACTTGTGTGTTCCATAATGTCATGATTCGTCGTCTGATTAAGTGAATTACACCAGATTTGGACATTCACGAAAAAAAACGATCAATTTTACGTATGATTAATTCTAATTATAACAAAAATAAAATATTATTGATAAAAATGAAATGTAAGAAATGTATATATAAAAAAAATTATAAGAAAAAGATAGACATCATAAATGTGGCAGTCCCAAGTCATTTATATTAAAAATGGAATTTTTTCTTGAAAAGAAAGAAAAAATAAAATAAAAAATAAAGTGGAGCTGGAAAGTAGAGACACGCGCAGGTGCAGAGAGTAGCATTGTTCCAAACGTTGGTACCACTTGTTTGAGCATGCAAACGTGGCGACAAACCAACGGAAGAAACTCGGTGATGATGTCATCAGATCCGCAGCCGATGACGTTATCAGCCGAGTGTCGGCTTCCTACTTGAGCTGGTGGCCGACCACATGACCACATAAATAAATGAAATATTATATAGAGATAATAATATACATCTATTTTTATTTATAATATCTGCAAATTAATTTCCTCTTGATTTTTATTTATTTATTTAATTATTCAAATTATAAATTAAAAAACAAAAAGGATATAAAAAATGGTAAATTACGGTTGCCACCCTAAGATTTTATCTAATTATAAACAAGCTCTTCTTATTTAAGGAAATTACAATTACTCCCCAAAAGTTTCTAACCAGGAACAATAGTTAAGAAAAGATTAGCTAAAAAATCAAATAAAATAAAATAAATAAATACATCCTCCAGATTAAAAAATCTATGATCCAATCAAAAGTATTCAACAAAACATAGGGAAGTGACAAGATAATCCCTACTTCTTTTACCTCCCATTCCAACAGCCAATACAAAAAAACCCCCTCACCCCCACGTGCGGGTCCCGTTTAGTAAATTATATACATCACCGTCAAATTCAATTCAAGATTCGAGGGGGGGTCCCACCTAATGCTCGTGCTTAAAGCGAGCCTTGAGTATTCCGGGAAGAGGGGGTGAATTCGGATGCCTACCCTGAGTATTATTGCGTTGGGCATGTCTCGAGCTCTCACCTCCATTTTGTGATGCCCCGCTAATTTCGGGCTTTTCACAAAATTTCATCGCCTTTAGAACGTAGTTATCATCATGCAGCTCGAACGGGGTGCTGCGGTTAACAAATTTTTGCGTTACTAAATTTATGGTGAGAGGGAATCTTCATTATCACTACATTTGTATCATTGGCTTACCTATTGAAATCGAAATGAACCAGCTGCATATCTTCCGATATTTCAACCTCGACCGTTGCATGAGGACGAGTCTGTCATTTCAAAATAAGTGCAACGGGAATTAGTTCCCGAAGTAATGTATCACGGAGGTTCAAATATTAATTGTTATAAACTATAAAGTATTTCACAAGCATGACAATGAACTGGATACAGATTCATGGGTGGTAAAGCGAAAGTGTGTCAACGTAATGTATCGAAAGCAGAATTAAAGATTAAAAATATATCAATCATATCGAACAATAATGTCTTACTTTTACAGTGGTCAAAGGAACTTTTGGGTTGCAAAACACATATTTGATGCACTTTTTTACGTGTAATAATAACCGACTGAGAATGTAAGAAGTCTAGTTTGTGGCAAGAATCGATACCAGAGGGGATTATCTCTGTATACCATTCAACTCTACCTGGACTAAAATAAAAGGCAATGCAACTCCACCACTCGGAGCATTTCCCGATCCAAAGAGTTGATTATTACGCTCTACGAGGTTTTGAAGACCAACGTGCTGCACCAAAACATTTAGTGCAGAATGGTTAGATTATTAAATTTGATTCGATATCCTTGTTATATATCATCTGAATAGTTCTTACTTGTTCCTCCAGCTCATTCAGATATGCTGCTTTCTTTTCAATTCGGTTTCGAAGTCCGACACGTTCACTCTGCAATCAATTTTATGTTAAAAAAAAAGATATTTGGATTCGTTGATGCAGGTCAACTATATTTGACACATTGAGACTTACTTTTGTAGTGACGGAGAAAAAAAAAAGTTACGGAAGGGAAAAAACGAAGGCATAGTCAAACGAAGGAAGAGAAATCGAACCTTGAGTTCATCCACGTCATCGACACTGGTCCGAGGTAGACCCTTCCACTGTATTTCCTTTTTATCTTTAGAGATTATATCCATCGCCATTAGCACATTTAGAGCATCGTATACCCTCCGACGTATATTCTTCTCATCGTACTGTTGCTGCATTGTATATTTTGACAATCGAAACTATAGATCGACTACTATGTTTCACAACTAATATACGCACATGACATCAACAACTGAAAACTACAATAAACCTGGTCCGGAGTTGTGACACCATTCCCAGGTTCAGCAAATTCAGCAACAAGTTCATCAGCCACCTAGAAATAGACTACTATGTCAGATTTAAACGATACCCGATAACACGCATTTCAAAATAATAAAACGCAAAATGCAAAATTAGTCGAGCATCACATGACTCCAAACTGTTTGTATTCCCAGAATGGATGCATTATTAAATCAATACTGCAAAGTGACGTGAAAGCTATTGCTGCATGAGGGAAATAACCAAATCAAAATTAAATAAGAGAGAAACACGTATACGTGTGAATTTATCAATAAACGGAAGGGTCTCCACGCCCGTGTTAATTTCAGCTTACTGTCTATGCAACACCTTCCGAAAGATTCTAATAAGGATCGTATAATCAAAGATTGAACTGCGAAGCTCTAACCTCGTTATATGTAGTTCTCCCTTTGCTTTCCACTTTCTCGCACACTATCCATATCAAGAACAAGAAGTTAATCACTGTGAAACTTAGAAACTATGTCACACTAGCAAAGACATTCAACGTAACATACATTATTGGCAAAGGAAACAAATAAGGGGAGACAAGGAACTAAAACCTTTCATGCTAAATTGACGAAGCCCTCGACCACTCTTATCACCTCCTGTTGCACGTTGTCCTCTCTTCTTCTTCTTGTTGCTGTTCGGATTATTCGATTAGATACACTTGCAGATAAATAAGAATTAACTTTTTCGTCGACAAGAGTAAGATTTCACACTTGTGTCATGAACATCTAAAAGACTTGTATCTTGTAAATAAGAGATGCACGTCGCAGATGCTTTGGTGCAAAACATGTCTTACTAAATTCCGATCCCAATTATCTCTCATACACTACATAATTCAATTCAACAAAGTACTGCTCTTATCATATGGAATTTAGAAAACGAGATCCGTTCAGCTTCATCTTCAATGATTATTATTCGTTTACCAACAATCTAGAATATACTTTTCAAAGTATACCGTTGACATATCAAAACTTCACATATATAATCGACAAAACAACAAAAACAAGTCAACAGAAATCATGCTTCTGAATAAAAACACGAAAAATTGAAACTAAAGGCACAAAGTCTCACTTAGCAATCCCCTGAGATCCTGCATCGTCAGCGTGGATATCAAGATTGTCCAAACGGAGGAACGTACTGTCGCTGGCAGTAGCCGCCACGGCAGCCTCACTCCTGCCGGAAGGGGAGCCCACACTGCCGCTAGTCGACATAGATTGACCAGAAACAGTAGTGCCCCATGACCTGGTGGCTCCTCCACCACCACCACCACCGCCTCTAGAAAGTGCCGATCGATTCTTATCCTCATCTTCCATATTACTACTGCTTTTATTACTATGATTCACCATTTCCACATAAGACCATATAAAAAACTTGTGAAAAACCTAGACAACAACTCACAAATTCAGCGAATTTCGACGAATCTATGTGTGTGAAGTGTGAACTAAAATACTGGAATCGAGATAAACCTAAAATACTAACTAAATAATGAATTCGATAAAAAAAAAAAAAAAAATCCTCCAAAAACCTATGCACAATTTAACAGAACCGCATTACGAAAATGTGGCAAAGTAAGCTGTATCAATGCCTGAATCGAATCGATAAAAAAACCTAAACGAATTTCAGAAAAATCCCCAGGTCAATTTACCAAGCAAAATTTTCTCAAAAAAAAAAAAAAAAAAATTTACCAAGCAAAATAAGGAAAATTAATACGACTGAAACTGTTTAGAATATCTATATATATGTGTGTATATATATAGAAAACAAAGAGGAAAAAAAGAAAAGAAAAGGTAAAATCAATTGTCAATGGTGGTTCACTGGAAAAAAGCAAAAGGAAATTGGGGGAAAAAAAGTCAGAGGGTTGTGTGTGTGATCTGTTTTATATAAGGAGAAAAAAGAAGAAGAAGAAGTGCGATTACAGACTCTCTCTCTCTCGCAAAGAATCATAAAAGAGACGGTCATAAAAAATTCTGCTTTCTTTTTTATTTTATTTTGGGGCAATAATATATATATATATATATATATATATATATATATATATATATATATATATATATATATATATATATATATATAGCTATCGCTGAGGTAAAGTCAAATTACGACAGAACCCCTCGTGTTTCGATAATTACAATCAACCTTAACTTGTATTTTCTTACATGTCCTTTCTTATAGTGTCGAATTTGCTTAGCGAAAGAGAGTTTTTTTTGTAAGAAATACATAGTTGATGAGTGGTTGTAATTATCCAAATAAACGAAGTCTCTTCGTAATTTGATCTTACATCGAGGGTTGCCGTAATTTGCCCATTTTTCTAGTTTTTTCTTTCTCCTCCCTTTAGTTGGTACTTGGTAGGATCAAATTTCAATAATATTAGTAGTTTCTATTTTTTCCATGGTCAACAAAAAAAATTGTAATTAATATATTATTATCTTATATATTAGAGAAAAATACGATTACATTAGATACGTAATCGTATATTTGGCTTTTAAAACAATTTATCGAACATAAAAACTTATTAATTATTAACTTATTAATTATTTAAAATAAATTTAGCCAAACGAGCTCCTCTATAATTTTTTCTCCATTGACGAGTATATAATGTTAGAAGTATAAAACACACTACATATTTAATATATATCCAAATAAAATAAATTCTCTCGTTTTTTATATTATTAATTATTAAAATCATAAATTGCTATTTATTGGTTTCAAAGGGTCAAAAACGATCCAATCTTACCTTTTGAAATTGAAGTTCTTGAACAAATTTCAGCGCGCGTGGGTTGATTATCACTCAGTTCAGTCGTATGAGTTGATTTATCAGGTGGGACTTAATTAATTTTGTAAAACAGTCCGATTTGTTTCTGAAATTAGGTTTTCCGGAGCAATTACTCTTCGTTTTTAGTCCAAAGATTTAATCTTTTTTTGGGTTGAGTTCGTAATTTCTGTGACCCATTTGAGTTGGGGTTTGATTCGTGGGCGCAACAGTCAAAAATTGCGATGGCGAGCTTCATTTCTCAGACTGCGGTTTCGTAAATCATATGTATGTATAATTTCATTTGTTTTTTGGTGATTATCTGATGTTAATTATTTATTAATCAAGAACTCTGAGTTTTTGTTAACTAACCTAATATTTAGTATTATTTCTTGCTTTGCTGTTGTGAAAAAAGTGATATATAAATTCAGTAGCTATGTTATTAGGTTTGGTAAAGAAACAGAGGTGGTAGATACACAAAGTTAAAAAATCTTGTTAATCGTTCGACCGGCTAATTGTGTTTCGATTAAAATTCGTTGCGACTTTTCTGACGTAGTTTTGGCATATAATTTTGTTTTGGTTTGTTGGTCTTGTATCCACTCAATGTAGTGTTGTTGCATATGCTCGAGTAATTTATCGGTTTATTGGATTTAGTTTCGTGGTTTGAAATTGCAGGGATAAAGATGTAAATAGAACACAATCTTCAAGAGTTTCTGATTTTGGGCTACTCAATCCGTATCTTGGGTTTCGTATTGGAAATGCTGCTAATGTCACTCGAAGTAAGTTTCACGATAATAAATCCAATCGAGCTTGTTTTTAGACTTAATTATGTTCGATAATAAAACAAGTTCTTCTTATGCAGCAGCTCCAGTGCTTAATCCGAGCCAAACAATGAGCCCCGATCTTCAATCTGGTGCAATCAATAACGTAACTATCACTTATCTCAATAATTTGTAACTACTTTTACTTTTATATGTAACTTTTTGACAAATTCTTTTTTACATACATTTGAGAATGCAGCCTCGTGCTTCGACCAACACAAACTTTCCCGTAGCTTTTCTGGGATCACAAGCAGTACAAGCGCAAAACCCGAATCTAGTAACTGCATCGGGTTTTCAGCTCGAGAATTGGGGAGAATCTAGCATGGCGGCAGATTCCAGTTCCCGTACAGATACTTCAACAGATGCGGACCCCGATGATAAAAATCAAATGGTGATTTTTCCTTATACCCCGACATTCTTTTTTTTATTTTTTAAATCGTCTCCTTTTTCAGAAATTGCACCGTATCAAAGTGGGATATTCAGAATGGGATTTGTTGGTTTATACTATTATATGAATAAATTTCCTTCTATTGTACTTCTGCCTATAATGTATTCGTGCCATGTCTGCAGATTGAAATGGGTCAATCTGCGGGTCCCGCAGTATCGGATTCCAGCGACAAATCGAAAGAAAAAACCCTAGATCAGAAGGTTGCACCTTTATACTTACATATATCAGTATACTTCTGTATATCAGTGGAGTGAATTTATGATTCTTTTCTTATGAGATTATTTATATATACAGACACTGCGAAGGCTTGCACAAAATCGTGAAGCTGCTAGGAAAAGCAGACTGAGGAAGAAAGTACGTTTTCCGGAGTCGAGATTCAAAGTTCATTTCTTTCTAATTTGATTTTGCTAAGAAATATATGTATATATTTTTTATTCCGAGTAGATTTATCATTTACGTGTTACTTTACAGGCCTATGTACAGCAGCTGGAGAGTAGCCGTATGAAGCTAACTCAATTAGAGCAGGAGCTGAAGCCGCCACGTCAGCACGGTGCATTCGTTTCCAACAATGGAGATCAATCTAATGCAGGTGAGAATGTTATGATTTTTTTTATTACCAGGCATATCGAGACAATATGCATTATGTTTCAGTCGTGTTAAAAGGTCTATTTAAACTTTATGCGCTATAAAATGGGCAGTGGAGTATTATTCGTCTTTTATCTTTCTGATTTATCAGCTTTTCGTAATGTAGGGGCCTCTGCTTTCGATGTGGAATACGCGAGGTGGATGGAAGAACAGAGCAGACGGATAAACGAGCTGAGGACAGCTGTCACTTCGCATGCGAGTGACACTGAACTTCATAGTATCGTGGACAGTGTTAAAACGCACTTCAACGATATTTTCAGGCTGAAAGGCAATGCAGCAAAAGCCGATGTTTTCCACATCTTATCGGGAATGTGGAAAACACCTGCAGAAAGGTGTTTTCTGTGGCTCGGTGGCTTTCGCCCGTCTGAACTTCTCAAGGTGGGACCCACAATGTGTATTTATGTATTTATTTATAAAATAAAATTATATCGACACAATAATAAAAGAAAGGTTTTTTTTTTACAGCTTCTTGTGAACCAATTGGAGCCTCTGACGGAGCAGCAAATGACGGGATTCTACAATTTGCAGCAATCGTCACATCAAGCGGAAGATGCACTTTCACAAGGTATGGAAGCATTACAACAATCTCTAGCCGAGACTTTAGCTAGTGGGACCGAAGGCTCGTCTGGAAATGTAGCTAATTATATGGGACAGATGGCAATGGCCATGGGCAAGTTGGGTACTCTTGAAGGTTTTCTTCGACAGGTAATTAATTACTTACCGTCGTGCAATATTATATTATATCTCGTATAAATTAATTAATAAAAAAATATTTGATTTTTCTTTTTGTTTTTGAATGTGCTAGGCTGACAATCTGAGGCAACAAACGCTGCAACAGATGCATCGGACATTGACAACAAGACAATCGGCTCGTGCACTTGTGTTGATAAACGATTACTTTTCGAGGCTTCGAGCCCTTAGTTCACTTTGGCTTGCAAGGCCACAAGAACGATGAATGCTCGAAAACTAACAAAAAGATTTGAAGATGAAAATGCTCTCTGCAAGATTACTACACACACTTTTGAAATATTTGTATTGTTTATGGCTGTGTTGTGTGTTTATTGTAGTAGAATAGGAATCAATAGTTTGTGCTCTTGATTTAATTGCATACTTTATGTCCGTAAGCTTTGAGGATGTCTGAATAAATAAAAATTCTAGGTTTTTTCCCACACCAGAGAGATAATAGGAAAACAAAATCGCAAACGAATCTCGCCAACAATTCGTCGAGCCCGTCGCAGCCAGTGCAACTATGTGGTCGCGGTTCAAAAAGAAAAAAAAAAAATTAGCAAGAATAAATGAACTATATATAACCCATTCTAACAAGCTAACCTTAATTTGCAATCTTATTAATGAAACAATCAATCCCGGTTCCCATTACTCGAGCAGCTCATCCAGTGGCGACTTTCTAAATGCATCCGTTCGAGCCAAAAGTCCAACCAAAGCTGCATTAGGTACAACATTATCGCCCTTCATTCTCTCTCTAAACCCGTAGGATGGTGCTTTCGCGTTTATGTAAGCATAAAGAAGCGATCTGTAAGGCCGAACCCTTGAGGCGAATCCAGCTTCTCTGATCTTTACGAATATCTTCTCCGCGTTGTGTATATCTCCTCTGTTTGCATATTCATCCAAGATTGTCAAGAAAGAGCTACAAAGAGGCTTTGTCGATTTCTGCTTCATGGCCTTTTCGAGTATCGAATCTGCCTTTTCCACTTCTCCAGCTCCGACGTACAGCTTCACTAACGCATCCCATGTCAGCGGCCCCACACTGCACCCACTCTCCGACATTCGTTTCACTAAATCCTTGCCTTTATCCAACATTTTGTGATCTGCATAGATTTTTATCAGAGCAGCAAAATGCTTCGAAGTGGGCTTCTTCAAAATTTTCATCATCTTATCGAAAGCTGACTCAGCATCTTCGATTCGCTTGAGCTGCCCCCAAGCTTCGATGGCAGCAAGACACTCCTTCGTTCGAAGATCCGATTGACATACTTTCCAGATTCTTTCGACTTCGTCTTCCATTCTTAGTGAAGCATAAATCGGGAGCAACACTCCACAAGCCCAGCGGTTCTTCGTTATATCTTCTCCTTCTATCTCCTTACATACAGCTTTGGCTTTATCTTTCAGACCAGCAATAGCATAGTATCGAGCCAACGATACTTGGATTATAGTATTAGGTTCCACCCCTTCAGTCTTCATTTTCTCGACGATTTTTTCCATCCCACTAATATCATTGGACAACCCTTTGGCACTTATCAAAACGTGGTAAGTGAAATAGGATGGCTTGATATTTTCTTTCTCCATCAACGACAAAACGTTGGAAATTTTCTTGTTGTCGGTTCTCTTGTACAGAAGTAACAACTGATTGCAAGAAAAGCATGTGATAGGGAATAAGCTCTTCATTTTGTTGAAGAGATCTTCGGATTTCTTCACATTGCCTGTAGAGACGCAGTTTGCCAGTAGGGTACGGTACACAATTTCACCTCTAAAAGATTCGGGGATTCGCTTAATGTACTCTTCTGCCTTGGGTATACCATGAACTTTGACAATTAAATCAACACGAGAGGCGTAATTACTCTCGTTAAACTCAAGAAGCTTTGTGTGCTCCAACCACTCCGACATCTACCAAAAATATAAAGTGGAAAAGTTAATTCCCCATCCAAATCTCGTATATCCAGAGACAAATACATGCATATTGCATCAGCCAACTTATAAAAGTAGAAAAACTTTATACGATACCCATGCAAAAGAAATCTGAATCTTGATTTGGAAAACAAGCTAAGCCAAATTATTTCTTTCATGAGAGCATCCTACATCATCTTAACTGACTATAAGTTTGTCAGTAGCATGTCAGAATTACGGGACACAAAATTGATTGATTCTAATCGAGACTGAGGGATCTCTCCAGCCAAACAAAGGCTCTCAATTGGCTACAAAGTGAAAGATTCGTTCACCGTTCTTATATAAAATAAACTCAAGAAGTTCAACCACATCACCGTAGCTACCTCTTAAATCTTGAGTATGATACAACAAAAACCGAAATGAAGACTAAAATTTTATACAGTAAAAAAAAGTCTGAAAATAAAACACACCTTCAAGGCCTTGACGAACATTCGCCGCTTCCGAAGATTAACCATGGTTGACGACACTTCTGGTTTAGTCAGCTCGTTTCCTTCTTTGACCCATTGATCCAAAACCTTGACCACCGATACAATCGGAGCACCCAGTACAGCCTTTGTGAATGCTGAATGAGGATTAGTTTTGGGAAAACTTTTCTTTTCAGCATCACCCTCAGTAGTGACACTCTCACCCTCGTACAGATCTGATTCAGACATTAAATCATCTATGTCATCTGCAGAAGCAGCTTTTCCGACTGCACCAAGTGGAGCTTCGAGTTCAGAAAAAGCATCCTCCAAATCATCATCTCGCTCGACTCTGCTCTTTGCACCGGCTTTGGAAAAAAGAGTGCGTACATTCATATACGAGTTTGAAGAACTTGGTGATGCGTTGAAAGATCTCGTTGAATACACCGATGCATCTAACAGGTTTCTATGAGATTCCACAATTTCAGTATTATAGTTTTCGGAATAACATATTGCCGTATCTGATTTCACAGAGCGTATTCTAGCAATCCCTGAATTTAATTCTCGATTCCTGGATAGAGAGAGAGAGAGATGTTTTACACATCACAATAATGACATTACAATAAGCCACCTAATTTCAAACGAAAATCAGATAGGAATACATAAATTAACAGAGACATCATAAATAATTAAATCTGCAGGTCGAGACAAAATCAAGATTGGGTTTCATCATAAATTGCTCTGCCTTTTATTAATGGAAAAGACTTGCCCAAACACACACACACACACACACACACACACACACACACACACACACACACACACACACACACACACACACAACACAACGTTGAAAAAATGGTCGCAGCTAACAAATTAACAAAACCCTCGCCGCGTATGTAAAATGGATCACAAAAATATCATGAAATCGCACATCAGAATATACGGGGAAAGAAAATTGCATTTCAAGCACATAAATCAGCTGACAGATGCATATATGTAAACAAAGATAAGAAATGATTTACCTGATATGAATCGAAGCTCTGCGAAATGCCCACATTCTGATTCTCGAAACTTCAGTAATCACAAGAAATTTGAGAAATGCTACTGAGAAATCGTAAAGCCCTAAAAACCCTCAGTGAAATTACATATTAGTCCATCTCAAAGTTTTAATTATATTTCTGATCCTTTTTTTTTTCCTTTTTTCTTTCTTATTTTTAAAAATAATTTCTACTCTTTTCTAAAATTTAATATTTTTAGCCTAAAATAGAAATTTTCATATTTTAAACATGGTTTTTATTTTCTTTTTTTTTTTATATAAATAAATTCATATCAAATAAGTGCACACTTTTTTTTTTAATAATCAAACATCCACCGAGCTTCGTTCCGTAAATTCATTTTGCAACAAATTTGGAATCCATGGCTATCAACGACTGTCGTTGAGTTCGTCGCAGCGCACATGTGCAGCAAAAAAAAAAAAAAAAAAAAAAAAAAAGCTGAGTTCCCTTTATTCCGGCAACTCGGCTACTGTCGACTCTCTAAATGCATCCGCTCGAGATAATAGTTCAACCAATGCTACATTCGGTACAACACTATCCTCCTCCATTCTCTCTCTAAAACCGTAAGGCTGTGCTTTTGCATTTATGTACGCATACAGGAGTCCTCTGTAAGGCCCAACACATGAGGCGAATCCAGGTTCTCTAATCTTAGCGAGCATCCTCTCGGCATGTGTTTATTCATTTCCCGCCATTTTTTTCATTTAAAAAAACTGCCATAAAATCATATTCCCAAAATACCCTCTCGAGTTTCATCTGACACAAGTCCGTATACAAGATTTGAAGAAAAAAAAACAAAGGAAAATAATAAATACACATCCATCGAACCGAACCGGACCGCCTGACCACTGCCACCAGACCTCCGCCGCTGACGAACGCCGCCGCCGGCCCACCATGGAAGCACAAGATTTTACTTACTATTCTAATCTTACTATGGCAACATAATAAAATCTAAACGTCCAACAAATTTTGACTGGACTTAGTCAAAGCCTTCTTCCCGAAAGCATCAACTCTAGCTAACAACGCACCCAAATCCGCATCAACATTATCCGCCTTCAATCTCTCTCTAAACCCATACGCAGGCGCTTTCGCGTTTATATAAGCATAAAGCAGCGATTTATAAGGCTTAGCACGCGCAGTATACCCAGCCTCTCTAATCTTCATAAATATCTTTTCAGCGTTATGCACATCTCCCTTATTTGCATATCCATCCAAAATAGCCAAAAACGAATCACATAGCGGTTTCCCCTTTCTACCCTTGATCGCCTTCTCTAATATAGAATCCGCCTTCTCCACTTCTCCGGACCCCACATAGAGCTTCACCACAGCATTCCACACGAGCGGGCCCACACTGCATCCACTCTCAGACATCCGTTTCACCAAATCCTTCCCCTTTTCCAGCATTTTGTGGTCTGCGTAAATCTTTAGCAAAGCCGTGAAATGCTTCGAAGAGGGCTTCTGCAATTTCTTCATCATTTTATCGAACGCTGACTCAGCATCCTCAATTCTCTTGAGGTGGCCCCACGCTTCAATACCTGCCATGCACTCCTCGTGTCGTGGATTGGATTCGCACACTTTCCAGATTCTCTCCACTTCGTCTTCTCGTTCGAGGGAAGCGTAAATCGGAAGGAGATACCTACATGCCCAACGGTTTTTTACGATATCTCCCCCCTCCATCTCTTTCAAGACAGCCTCGGCTTTGTCTTTCAGACCGGCGGAAACATAATTTCGAGCCAACGATAGTAGAATCTTGGTATTGGGTTCCATTTCTTTAGATTTCATTGTCTCGACTATTTGTTCCATCCCAGTAATGTCCTTCGACTGTCCTTTCACGTCGATCAAGATTTGGTAAGTGAAGTGGGACATTTTGACATTTTCTCTCTCCATTAGCGACAAAACTTCTGCTATTTTCTTCTTGTCGACCCTCTTGTACAGTAGCAACAATTGATTGCAAGAGAAGCATGTGATCGGGAATAAGCTCTTCATTTTGTTGAAGAGCTCCTCTGATTTCTTCACGTTGCTAGCGGCTATGCAGTTAGCCAACAGGGTGCGATAGACTATTTCGCCCCTGAAAGATTCGGGTATCTTACTAATGTACTCTTCTGCCTTGAATATACTACGGACTTTGGCAATTAGATCAACACGGGAGGCGTAAGCGTTCTCCTTGTATTCAATGCTCTTGGACGACTCCAACCATTCCGAGAGCTGCAAAATATACGAAAGTGACAAAATAGTGAATTTCCTCTCAAGCTAGGCCAAATTATACGGAAAATGGCGAGTTATGAATTGTTTATGTTCTTTTGTTGTATTACTCCATTCAGCACCGGGAAATTCAAGAAACGGCATAATATACTATAGCATGATGCAAAGCATTTAGATACAACAAACTTCCAAATCATATGATAACAAAAGCCAAGATTGAGTAAACAAAATCAATCTGACACGGTAAAAAAGATTAAAAGACACACCTGCAAGGCCCTGACGAACATTCGCCGCTTCCGAAGATCAAACATGGCCATTGATGCTTCTGTTCGGGTCACTTCATTTCCCGCTTCAACCCATTTATCCAAAACCTTTCCCACGGGTAAGTTGTTAGAAGCGAGTATAGCCTTAAACATTGCTGACGTAGCCCTAGTTTTAGATCTTCTCTCTCCAGCATCAGTCTTGGTCTCTAAGGTATCTAACTCGTTTTCTATATTCTCACCCTCGGATAGCTCCGCTTCAGACATAGACTCGTCAGCTTCATCTGCAGAAGCAGCTTCTTTGACTGCAGTAAGTGGAGTGTCGAGCTCGGTAAAAGCATCCGCCACATCATCAGTTTGCTCTTCGTTGCTCTTAGCACCAGCTTCTGAAGAAAATGTGCGAGCTTCCATGTACGGATTTGAAGAACTCGATGTGTTGTAAGCTCTTGTCGAATGTACGAATGTGTTTGATAGGTCTTTATGAGAATCGACAATTCCAGAATTACAATTTTCCAAATAGCATCTTGCTATCTCTGGTTTCGCACAGCAGATTCGAGCGATCCCTGAACTTAATCCTCGATTCCTGGAAAGGAAACAAGATACAATATCACAACAGTGACAAGATGATATTAAGTATAGAGCATTCCCAGTTTCGAACTACATAAGAAAGAACCAAATATAACAGTAACAACTAACGCAGCACACATTTAACCAAAAGCTGGTGTACAAATGGAAAAAAACAACCTCCAAAGCTGAAAGAAATCCAAAAACAAAAGGAAACACACACACACACACACACACACTCTTCCACAGCACACATATACATATAAATATACATGAATTGCAGAACTAATTTAATTCCACGGTGTGAAGTACGAACACTAAACTTCTATCATTTAAATCAGTTAACCAAAGAAAATGAAATATAAACTCCAGATTACGATAACTATCTCTCACTTATGCTTCTTACAAATACCTGCAACGAACACAAAAACAACCCAAGGCACGTACGTATAAACCTGATTACAAAACGCCATTAAAATGCAGAACAGAAGAAATAAATTGCATTTCAAGCACATAAATCAGCACACAGACAACAAGAGGCGCGCATATGATTTAAGAGAAGAACGAATTACCTGAGATTAATCGAAGCTCTACGAAGTGCCCACATGCTTATCGTCGAAATTTCCAATTTCTGTTCGCAAAAGGTAACAGCAGTACAAGAGAAATTGCAGAAATGCGAATCGGAAGTCTTAAAACCCTAAAACCCTAAACCCCTTTTGGGAGTGAAGAGAGTATTATTAATTTGCAGGGTGCTCAATTTTATATAATTACATAAAGGTCCACCCTCAAGTTTGTATTCCTATTTATTGCCCCCTTACATTTCTTGATAATTAGTTTTATTTATTTTCCATTATTTAACAACATAGAAAATATGAGAAGTTAATTTCTTATTTTCAAATTAAAATCTTACTTATATTAGAGTGTTCATTAATTTGTTTGCTTATTGTTTTTCTTAGGTGATAGATGAAACCTGCAGCCAACCAGATAGGTGCATTGGTTGAACTTCAAGGTAACTTCTATTGCCGAATATTTACATTTTTGCCAAATCTTTTCCGAGCCTGGTGTTTTTCGTTTTCGAGTTATTACCGTATTTTAAGATTTTTCATGTACAAGTTCAAGAAGTTTGCGTCCATGCGCGACGAATGGGCTATGAAAAACCAATACTTCAATCCAGGTAAATCCAATTGTAATTTATATCGTGTAGCAGCTACGTACGTAGCCTTAAGTTCGTACTTTTGGCAATTAACTTCGAGCACGCAAGTTTTTAAATTAAAACTTACCGATTCGATTTAAATGAAGGTTGAGATAAAAACCGTTCGGCAAAGCGTAAAAGAATATACGATTTTATTTTAAAAGTCACCACACACAACCCCACTAGAGCTTGCATCAGTCTTCTTGCTCTAAAATACACTCTTTTTTTCCCATCTACACTCATCTGTACAACTCTCACCGAAAGGAAAAAAAAAATTACACGAAAACGAAACATATTCTGAACCGAGTTTTGCTGCAAATGGCTACAGCTACAACTTCCATCGACCTTCTGTGCAAAAATTTAACATGCAATAATAATCCCATGCTTCTTTCTTCCAAACGGCCCTTTTAATCGGGGCAAAAATACTGTTGATTTTCAGGGGCAATTATGTCCCAAAAGAATAGAGAATTCAGTTTCACGCCTTCTGAAATGTTCGTGCGGACACTCCATGCAGAAGTCTTACAAAGCCCAAGAAGCTTAGTTTCCCGTCTGAGTGTCTTATCCAATCCTGCAGAACTACGTGCACTGGTACAGATGGACTAAGTCCGAGCTCCTGTTTAGAACAAGAATCGACGGTCAGGATTTTCTTAAAATAAACAAAAATTCGATCAAGAGAGAGAGGCGTACAGAGGCAAGTTCTTCGATCATAATGGGCCGATTTCCGTTCTTTTCAAAAAGTTCGTAAGCGTTGCGTGCGTGTTGCTCCCAGCCTTCCGATCCTTCTAGCTGATGCACGCTTATCGCTGCAGCGCAGTATTCTTCGAAATCCAATTTTCTGTACTGAAGAGAACTCACCTGCACGACACAAGCAATAACATTTTTTTTTTTTGATTTTTTTTTTGCAGTTAACTCAATCAAGACGAAGATGCAATGGTCCTTGTCGGTTTGGTACTTATCAAACTATTTAACAACATTTGAACAGAAAAAACAAAAAGACAACCGAAAGTTTTACCACATTGACATAATCCACAACACGTGATTCTTTCATTGCATCAGTCGAAATCTTCGCCATAGCCTGCAGACAAGTGATTCAATTGCAAAGTAAGGTACAACCCAAAAACAGCACAAAGTTTGTGTGCGTGTGTGTGTGTGTGTGAGAGAGAGAGAGAGAGAGAGAGAGAGAGAGAGAGAGAGCTGACAGTTTTGAAGTTTTGTAGGGATACAAAACCACTCTTATTTGGTCCTAACATTGCAAACTGATCTCGGAGATAGGCTAACTGCGGTACTGTCAATGTTCGTGCAAGAGCCTGTACATTAAATAAAGGAATTAGTCGAATAAGATGTCTTCCTCTTAGCAAAGAGAATTTTCTCTAAATCCGAAAATACGCATTGCATGCATGCATACCCCTAAAGCTGTTTTCCTCAAAGAAGTCGAACATATATAAGCTTTCACAAACTTATACGTTATCATATCCATTGGAATTTTCTCTTCGTGGTGTCCAGTCAGCCATGGATGACCTATACACGCAACAATCCGTTTATAAAAAAAAATCGATAAATGAAAAAAAAATAATATTAATCGAACTTCTTACAGAGAGCCTGAGCTGCAGTTAGCCTTTTACGATAGTCCTTGTTTAATAACTGTTTCACAAAATCTATGGCTTCGAGAGAAAGTGTGGGCCATGGGGCTTCCTCGAAATTAGGGTCAGCCTTTATTACAGCCCGGAAGATTCCGGATTCTGTTCTTGACCAGAACGGTCTACTTCCACAAAGAAGAATATAAGCAATCACACCAATGCTCCACATGTCAGCCTCTGTGCCGTACGATCTATGCAAAACTTCGGGCGCCACATAATACGCACTACCAACAATATCGTTCAGCCTTTCATCTGTCGAAAATTTATTCATTTCGTCAAAATCTAAATTCCAAGAAAGTAATTAGAAGAACAACGGAAGTATTTAGAAATAGAGTTAACCTGGCTTTACGTAATCAGAGAGTCCAAAGTCGATTGCCTTCAAAGAGGAATGCTCGTCTTTCGTAACAAAGAGAAAATTCTGAGGCAATTTTGAGAAAAACCCATGTCAGTTACATACAGATAAGTGAAAGCTGTTACGTAAACTTTCGAGATATGACATTATTCAATTAATAACCAATGCACGGTCGATACTCACAGAGATATGCCTAACCAGAGCCGAATTTAATAATTGAATAAGATAAAAATATCTGTCAAATTGTTAGGTACAATAGTCAATGTACCTCGGGTTTTAGGTCTCGGTGAACGACACCTTGAAGATGGCAATATGCCACAACACTCAAAATCTGCACCATAATGATTTTCGCATCCTCTTCCGAGTATTTTCCACCCCTAGTGAAAAGAAAAAAAAAATAATAATTGGAAGGCCTGGACAAACTGTGATCGACAGTTAAACATTAGTATAATAAATGATCGAGCATACCTCGAAAGTATACGATCAAGTAGTTCTCCTCCTTTGCATAACCTGAAAAAACGAGAAAAGTTACATACTTTATCGAAACAGAGCCCCGATAGATGAGGTGAAAGAGTCCAAAATCGAAACTTACTCCATCACTGCGTAGACATTGTCTTCATCTTCATAGGCATCGTAGAATTGAACTAAGTTCTTATGTCCAGTCAGCGCTTGTAGAATCTTTACTTCTCTTCTCACATCTTCTATGGCAATTGCTGTAGTCATCTGCACAAAATACAAAATATTACACTCCGACCTCGACTATATATATGATAGTCATTTCATGCAATCCCTTACATAATTTTGTATTACACAAAGATTATTCAAGAAATTTATGATAAATTGGATATTACATCAAATCCAATTCCTTATAATTTTGCTTCATGCAATGATGCATTCAATGATGTCCGCACCTATGTTTACGATTTACTAATGCACACAAAACGTAGTAATGAAAAGCGGACATAAATTTCGAGAAAAATCAGAGGCAATCAATCCACAGCAAAATTGTCACATTCAACATAAATCTTCGAAAACGTAAATCAAATCGAAATTGACCTTTGATTTAGGAATAACTTTAACAGCCACATCTTGCCCTTTCATGCTTCCCTTCTTTCCTTTAGCATAACAAGTGTACCCAAAGTGCCCTCTACCCACTTCTTCCCCAAGTTCATAGTGGCTAACGAAATTCTTCGAAAACCCGAAATTTTTATCCAACCCAATAATCTCACACTCACTCCCTTCGGGTATAGTAGCCTCGTTCGGCTTAACGGAGCCATGCCTCCTTGCAAGCAAGGCCTTAATGTGCTTAGCTGGCGATGGGGGCGGAAATGGACGCTTAAAGAAACGGAGAGGGGTCGAAAGGGCACTGCTCGAATTAGCCGGGGAATTCTTGAATGCACTGTGGAGTGGACTTGGGCTGTAAAATGGGAATTTGGGTGTTTTCCCAGTTGAGGGATTGTTCAGTGTTGGATCATTGCTTTCAGCTGGGATTATTGGGTTTTCGGACAGGTTTTTCGGGGGTTCGTTGGGTTTTCCATGACAAAGTCCCATGGAATCAAGAAAGTATGTAATACAGCAAAAAAGTTGGAAAATTAAACAGCTTGTGAATTCAAGAAAATGGAGGAGCTTCAAACCATTTGAAGGGAAGTTGGAGCAAGAAATAGATTATAATCAAGAACAGTTTTTTCCCCCAAATTGCTTTAAAAACTTAATCTTTTGGAACAACAAATAGATTAGAATCAAGAACAGTTTTTTTTCCCCCAAAATTGCTGTAAAAACTCAATCTTTGGCACAATCCTTTCAAAGATTGATCAGCAGAAACCTGAAAACAACACAAGGGGATTCACAACTGAAATTAAAACACAAGTAGGGGCCAAAAAGAAAAAACAAAAACACAATTAAAGATCTTGTCAGATGAAAAAAGGGGTTCTTTTGCAAAAAAAAAATATGGAAGAAACAATCAAGAGGAAAGAATGAATGAATGAACAACTGGCTTACAGCTGAAGAAATGGGTAGAAATAGCAACTTGAGTAGAGATAATCTTGACCAAATAAAAAGAAAAAAAGAAAAACAAAGAAGAAGGTAAAGAATGGGAACTCTGAAAAAAGAAAAGTGATGCTAAGCAGAGGCTGCAAGAAAAGAGAAGTGGAACCACTACCTCCTTTCTTTCTTTCCCCTGCTTTTTCACTCCTCTCTCTCTCTCTCTCTCTCCTTTTTTCTTTTTCTTTTTCATTTTAATTTTAATTTCTTCTCCCACTTTAATTTATTTTTTAATTGGGTAGTTTGTGGAGAATAGATACATCAATTTTTTTGTTAGAGGCCCTATTATTAATTATCAGCAATCGATTATAATTTTGTGGTGGGGTTTGTGTTTGGATCCTTCCAGCCTGTCCTTGTTGAGAGAGAAAGTGTGTGTGTGTGTGTGTGTGTGTGAGAGAGAGAGAGAGAGAGAGAGAGAGAGAGAGAGAGATTATGTGTATAAACATCTGAAAACAAGTTAACTAACCACCATTTTCTTTTCTTTGACTAGCTTTTTTTGGTTCTTGAAATATGGAATTTTCTTTTGGGAATTCCCAAAAAAGAATTGATTTTTAGGGTTTTTATAAATTGTGCAAAAAACAAGACTTTCAAAATTCCCATTCTTGATCTCGAGGGCTTAAATTAATTAAGCAAGATTTGTTTTTCTAAATAGTAGTAATATGTTTCCAATTAAGTGTCATTTATTTACACATGGGACGATTGCATGTGGGAAAGGAGTTGGCTAAGGGCCACTTTGCAATTAATTTTGGAAGCCTCCGGTGGTATAAATGCTGGCTAAAAACTTTTTTTAGGTAAAACTGTACATTGTAAAAGTTTTGGGGCAAAAGTGTGATCTTATACATTTGTGGTAATTTCATAAAATGTCTAAGAAATATAAATATATAATATTATGTATTATAAAAAGTTGGTGCAATATGGTTGCCTTCATTAATTAGTAGGTATAGCTACTTGTAATCTTCCCTTAATCCATCAATATCAATTGGTCAAAAACCTTTAATTAGCAATTAAATGAGTTATCAAAAAAAATTGAGTCTTTATTTGAATTATACTAAACTTCGATAAATTAATATTCTTGTTTAAATAATATTTTCTTCATGTCTCAACTCGGTAAAACGTATTAAATTATTAGTTCGATAATTTATTTGCTAAATTAATAGAATTTTATTAGTTTCGATGTAATTTTTACCTTTCATAAAAATATTTAAAATTCAACTTTGCTTTTTTCAAATTAAATTAAATTGAGTCAATATATCAAGTTTCAATAATTAAACCACGACCTCTTCATTAGTACGTACGTATGAATTGGGCATAGTCAAATGACTAAAAACTTTAATTTAATTAAGTGTAAAATGATGACTAAAAATAAAACAGCTCGACTACATAATTAAATAATTAATTATGGATTAATTGTTTGGTTTGCAAAATCAATGCTTGTCTCATCTTATAATAATATAATTAACAATTCTTTATATTACAAACTTTTTTTAATTGAAGTTGGTGACCAATATACATGTTCCTCGTGATTGTATTATTTATATAATAATATCCAAATAATTACACCATTTGCATGTAATGTAATGATCCAAACCATATTCAACTATCTGACAGTTGGTGCTAACATGTATCTCATGATTTAATTATTATAAATAATTAATTTTCCATTATTGTCATTGTATTTCTTGATTCTATCATCAATTATATCAATTGTATTTTAACTATTGACAGCAGAATAAATAAGACAAGAATTTAAGTCGGGTACCAAAAGGTTACGATCGACTTATGCATCCACGGGGACTTGGAAACAAAATTTTATCAGTTCAGAGTTTAAATTTTCATTAGGTTTGGACATGCGTATACGTGGCATTTACATGGAAGTTGGAACAATTACGAGTCATATTTTTTTGTATTACTTGTAACTTTATTGTGTAATATTTAATTATTTATAGTGTGTTAACTATTAAAAATTTATTTATTGTAATTAAAAATAAAATAAAATAAAAATGGTTGAAATGAAAAAACAAAAAAGTTGGTCTTTACTCTTTAGAAGTGATGTGTGCATAGGAATTTATTCCCCGTTATCATGATTGAATTTCTTTATTGATTCCCCAAAATACCGATTCTACCCTTTCAGACGTGGAACAAATCGAAGGTAGCCAAATTTTGTGAAAAACACACTGTAAGAGGGTTGGTGCAAGACAAAAACATAAGTGGAGATTTTGATAATTACTGATGGGTGAGGGGTTTTTTTTTTTTTGTAATTTAGCCTAAGTTCAGGGTATTTTTATAATTTACTATAATTGTTATCGGTAATTATTTAATACATATTCAAAGTTTTACAAGCAAAAGAGTTGCACATTTTCAGAAAAAAAAAAGAAGAAGAAATTCTTGTCATATTTTACACAAATTAAAGTGTGGAGAAAAAGGTTGAAAATACAACAAGTTGATTCTGACTGCTTTTTGTTAATTAATCCATTTTTTCTCTAAATTAAGGAATTAATTATTAAAAAACGATTAAGACACTAAACAACTCGTTAAAAATTGAGTAATTAATCTTGTTTAGAAGCAAGTGATAGAATTAGAAAAAAGACAATCCTTGTTTTATATGATTTTTTTTTTTTTTTTTGAATTCTCTCTTTTGAAGGTCCCTACACATAAAGACTAATTTAATCACTAAGTAAGATTAATTAACATCCTCATTCACAATGTAATGACAAATCTCTTGAAATTAAAAAAGGGAAACCCTAATTAATTATGAGAAGAAAACCCTAATTATAGTGAAAGCAAACAAAGAGTTGCCCCCCTTTTAGGCATAGTGGGAGCTTTTTGTCAAAGACCAAAAAAGAAAGAAATTCTTATTCTTTGATGCCCTTCCTCTCTCCTCCATATCTTTAATTGAGGAATAAAGTTAATTTAAAAAGAGGGAATAACATATTAATAATACTAATAATAAATAAATATATAAAAAAAAAAGATGTTTTTTTTGGATATATATTCCCTCACAAACACAAATAGAATAAGAAGTTGTTGAGTGTTATTAATTAAAGAATTGGAAATGAACATGGAGGAACATGGGTTACATATGATTTTCTATTTTATATTTTTTTGTTAGAAAAAAAAATTATAATATTTTATTAATTACTTCATTTTTCAAGAGACAATTTTTCAGACAATATCAAAAAGCACGAGGTGAAAAGTGATTAATTAGCTATCTCAATGGTCTAATCACCATTGATTAGCTCACAATATATGATTCTATGCAGTGGATTTCAATTTACAATAGTCCTAATTAATCAAGTTAATAATATCATTTGTTGCAAGAAAACATCCGTTAATTACTCCATTTAACTTAAGAAATTTACTTATTTTTTCCCCCACCACATCATTACAACACTGTTAGGTGACCCGCTTTGACCGGTCAACACCGGTTAGTTGGAGCTCGATCGTAGGGGATAAAAAACGGAATCATTAATCAATACATAATAACACAAACACTCATATGTATGTGTACTTAGTGGATAATTATTTATACAGATTTATGACATAGGATCACCCGATGTTTTTCACCGGGTGCAGCATCCACCTAAAATTACTCATAATTCCAATTAATTCATATTTATTAATTACTTGAAATATGATTTTTGTTAATCTAAAATAAAAAAACAAATTTTTAATGTTTCGACCAATAAGAGGCAAGCCCACTAGTGAATCTTCTTAGGACAAAAGACCCACTAGTTATCATAACAGAAAGCCCATTAAGACTTTGAGGAAAGCCCAAATTAAATTATTTCTCACCAGAACCCAATTTCATTAAGGTGGTGTTAAATATCAGGACAAATTACGACCACCTCGAAGGATAGTTAAATTACGGAAAAATCCCTCTTATTTGGATAATTACAATCACCTCTTCCTTTTAAATATTTTTACATAAAATTTATGTAATTCGGTTATTTATCAAACCATATCGTATATTCAGTTCGGTAAACGGTAGCGTACCGAAATTTCGGTTCGAAATTACCGTTTTAACATCCCTAAATTTCGCTCTCGTACATGCACAATAAGTTGCAACACGTGAGCTTTTAAGTTATCGAATGTTCAGCTGATCATAGGTAATAACTAGCTTTAACTAACCTTTATAGTTAATTATGAGCTAGCATATAATGCACAATAAGTATTGTTTAACCTAATTGTACGTACATGCATGCAGTTGGTGTAAGTACGTTGCAACACAACACGTGAGCTTTAAGTTATCGAATGTTCAGCTGATCATAAGTCATAACTAACTTTAACTAACCTTTATAGTTAGTTAATTAATAAATGCCTTTGTTGCAGCTGTAGTAAAACCTAATACAATGTACAAAGCGTCGTACTAAAGACATAAAAATAAGAAGGGAAAAAAATTAAAGCTTCGTTCGTAAACGAAACGATGATACTCGAGCCATGGAGTCGGTTGGAGGGCAAAATCGTCATGGTCACCGGATCGGAGCATCTTCCGGTCTCGGTTTTTTTTGCCTCGACTTGGCTAAGGCCGGTTGCAGAATTGTGGCTGCTGCACGTAGAGTCGAGAAACTCGATTCACTTTGTCAGCAAATCAATAACAACAAAATGGAATATTCGATGTCGTTAACGATATATGGGACCCGTTTAGCTGTTGCGGTCGAGCTCGATGTCACGGCCGATCCCGCGGCGATCGAAGCTTCTGTTTGGAAAGCGTGGGATGCATTCGGGCATATTGATACTTTGATTAATAATGCTGGTTTCAGAGGTTGAGTTTTTTCCATTTAATTAATTAATTTGGTTTCTTTTAAAAAAAAAATTAATAGTATTGAATCTTATTGATACTATTTACTAACAATACATGCATAATGTAATTCTAAATAAATAAATAAATAATAATAACTAGGGCAAGTGAGATCTCCTCTAACATTGTCGCCGGAGGAATGGAATCAAGTGGTGAAAACAATCTTGACCGGATCTTGGCTTGTCGCCAAATCCGTCGGCAAACGGATGCGCGCCGCCGCCCGTAACGGCTCAATCATCAACATCTCATCAGTTTCCGGCCTTAATCGGGGCGTTTTCCGCGGCGGTGTTGCCTGCGATTCCTCAAAAGCCGCCATCGACACCATGACCAAGGTAATTATATTAATTTCTATTTAATATTCATCTGTTCTATAATATCTGTCACTTTTGAAACACTTTTTTTTTTTTTTTATTATTATCTGTTACTTTAAATTTTATGTTCTTATTAACTCTTTAATTTCCAACATTTTTTCTAAAACTAATTTCTCTTTCTGATTAATCGTAAGATTACAAGGTCGTCATTTTAGTCTAAAAACATACATTTTCCTAAAACAGATAGTGGCACTTGAATTTGGGGATTACAAAATTAGGGTTAACTCGATTGCTCCGGGGCTATTCAAATCGGAGATAACAGAAAATCTTTTCAATAAGAAATTAGGGCTGAAAAATGCGATGAAGAAATTAGTGCCGTTGGGAGAATTTGGGGAAGGCGATCCGGCGCTGACATGTCTTGTCAGATATTTAATCGATGATTCATCGGAATACGTTTCCGGCAACATCTTCCGGCAACATCTTCATTGTTGATGCTGGTTTTACTCTCACAGGCCTTCCAATTTTTTCTTCTCTCTAAAATTAACGGAGCTATTAATTCATTAATAAGCCCCTTAATTAATTTTTATGTTGCAAAAAAACCCCCATATTTTACTGTTTGTGTTTGGTCTTGTTTGGTCTTATGATCTTATCTTCTATGTATTGATTGTCACATTGTTTTGGTTGTGTTCATTTTTGGACGTTTACCTAAACATTGTATTGAAAATAAATTAGGAAATGATTTAAATGAATATACAGTTAAATATCTATTAATTAATATAATTAATAGAATTGAGACTAGCAAGATTCTACTAATTTTGTGTAATGTTAAACTATCGAACTAGTAATTTAGTAGATTCTTCGTATCGAATTGGGACCGGAATTTACTATTGTTTATTAATTTATCGAGTATTAATATCTTTTGTATACTTTAAAAAAATCATCGGCCGACCAACTTTCAAATACATTAAAAATCGCCAACCGACCTGTGTAATATGAGTCGGTTGAATTATTGGCCCGACTATAGTGGGTCGGGTTGTGGGATTGATTATTAACGGAGGACGACAAAATAGGGTTTTTATAATGAATCGGTTGACGGGTTTTATAAATGATTTTTCAAGAACATATTCACCAAACTCGAGGATACAAAATGTGTGGTCTATATATAACCTCAAAAGTAACTAAATTTGGCCTATATAATGTACAACCTTAGTACTCATTATATATAGATGCACAAAGAAATTTAATTAAAAAAAAAAAGAAAAAAAAAAAGGAAATCGAAGTACGAAATGGCAAGTGGAAGCCTAGACCGATCAACATTCGAGCCATGGTCTCAGCTGGAGGGCAAAATCGTCATGGTCACGGGTGCATCGTCTGGTCTCGGTTTGGAGTTCTGCCTCGATTTGGCTAAGGCCGGGTGCAGAGTTGTGGCTGCTGCACGTAGAATCGAGAAACTCGACTCTCTTTGCCAACAAATCAATCACGAAATGGAATATTCCGATGCCATTTACGGTGGGGCCCACCAAGCTATTGCGGTTGAGCTCGATCTCACGGCCGACAGTACGGCCATCGAAGCTTCTGTCCGAAAAGCTTGGGATGCATTTGGTCATATTGATGCTTTGATTAATAATGCTGGTGTAAGAGGTAAAGTAGGGTTACATACATACATACATATATATATATATATATATATATATATATATATATATATATATATATATATATATATATATATATATATATAGACATATATTTTATACATATATATTGGATTCTTTTTTTTAAATTTTGTTATGTGTATACTGTATATTAATACTTGCAAGTACATTTGAATGCAATAAGTATAGGTTCGATAAAGTCGTCTCTGAATCTGTCGGACGACGAATGGAACCACGTGGTGAAAACAAACTTGACGGGATCTTGGCTGGTCGCCAAATGCGTCGGCAAACGGATGCGCGACGCTGCCCGCGGCGGCTCAATCATCAACATCTCGTCGGTTTCCGGCCTTAATCGAATGCAGGTCCCCGGAGCCGTCGCCTACAGTTCCTCGAAAGCTGGCCTCCACCTCACGACCATGGTAATAAATATTATGATAAGGCCTAATTATTATTATTATTTTTTAAATAGTACATTTAATTAATAATATTTAAAAATTCTTGAAAAATATGTTGGATGGATATATGAAGTTAGTTATTTTGTTTAATGCTAGAGTAACAAACAAACAAACAAACAGGTAATGGCATTGGAATTGGGAAATTACAAGATTAGGGTGAACGCCATCGCTCCGGGATTGTTTAAATCGGAGATAACCGGAGATTTGTTGGAAAAGAAATGGATGAAAAACGTGACGGAGAGAACCGTGCCACTTAGAGTGTTAGGTACAACCGATCCGGCACTGACATCTCTCGTCAGATACTTAGTTCACGATTCGTCAAACTATGTTTCGGGCAACATTTTCATCGTCGATTCCGGCTACACTCTCCCAGGTTTCCCCATTTTTTCTTCTCTCTAACTCTATTTTGTGATGTGATAGAGAGCTTTTGTCCCTTTCTAAGTGTGTGTGTGAGTGAAAGAGAGAGTGTGTGTATTATTATGTTTGTGCATTTGTTTTCGACAAGACATTGGATCGAATAAGGACCGTTTGTTTCAGGTTTATCATATCCTACACTCGATGAATTTAATCGAGTAATATTTCAGATGCATATTTAATTTTACATACGTTTGTCTGTGTGATGCATTTTATCGGATGTAACATCTACAAAGACGGTTGATTTGTATGTATTGTATTTGTACTACATTTTTGTATTCAAGTTTAATTTACATAAACAATTCAATCATTAAATATGAGGTATGAAATGTGGAATACAAATTAATACAGTATCGGAAGTAGGGAAATTCTATTAATTTAGCGAATTATTGAATTATCGAGTTAATAATTGGACACTTTATCACCGAATCGGGACCGAGAAAAACTATTATTAAGTTATTAATTTATCGATGTTCATCTAACCTAAAATTACTCATTTTTTTTTTTTTTGAGTAAATTCAAGTCGATTACAAGGGGAAGTAGGGGAGGGGGGGACTCGAACCCTAGACCATTACCCTATTGGTAAAGGCTAGGTACCAACTCTCCTAATGAGGGTTGGTTACCTAAAATTACTCATAATTACAAATAATTCATATTTATTACTTGAAATATGATTTTTGTTAATCTAAAATAAATAAATAAATGACACCTATAACTTTCGATTACTATACTGAAAATCTTGAAATAAATAAAACAAAACATTTTTTTTAATGTTTCAACCAATAAGAGGCAAGCCTACTAGTGAATCTTCTTTGAACAAAGCCCACTTATTATCATAACATACACTACAAGAAAAAATGGTTTTAGGGACGATTTGTTATGGTTGCTAAAAGCAAGATAATGGTCGCTGAAACTTATAACGACCAAATTAGGCTTGGTCACTTGTGGTCACAACAGGGTGGCTACTAAAAGTATTAGTGACCAGCAAATCAGTTGGACGCTAAAGACATAGATCTAGCGACCATTCAATAATGGTCATTAAAGATGTAATTATGAGCGACAAATTTTTTACTCGCTAATGTTAAAATTTATGGTCGCTATAATATTAATATGGTTGCTATAGGTATACATACAGTAACCACATATTTTTGGTTGATAAATGATATTCTTTTAACAACCGAGTACGTGGTTACAATAGATTTTATATGGTCACAAGCGTAACATATTTTAGTGACCACGTTGCGACCAATAAATTCGTTGCTCAATATAATAATTTAACTACAAGAATAGTTGGTTGCAATAAATTTTAATTTGTCACAAATATACCCCAATTGTTTGCATATAATAACCAAAAATAACAATTAATAATTCTTATTTGCAAAACAATCAAATAATGAACGAAAAACAATTGTTTATTGCTACTAATGACAAAAACCAAATAATAATTGTGAGGAAAAAAAATTGAATTGATAGCTGGTTACTACATATTAGCACATAACTAATTAATTGTTGACAAGTGAATTAAATCAGTGATCAATCTATATACAGTAGCAACCAAAGAAACCAAACACTGCCTCGCCGATTAAATTGAACTTAAAACCGCTGACAACATTCACATCTGGAACTTGATTGAAGTAATATCATTAGCTTCAACTGCCTCTGCCTCTCTACGGGTGCCTGAAATTGGGTGCCTGGAATTGGATGCCACAAAGAATCAGAAGATATACATGCAATTGTTTTCCAAATGTAGTGATCATATAACCAACAAAAGCAACAAGGAAAATCTTATGTA